ACCAAATCAACACTTACCAATACTGACAATGTCAACAATCATGTCAAAGGAAAGAGCGTACAAGCGGCATTTTCCATGCTAAAATATGAGTTTTAAGTGTCGAATCCTTTTATGCCCAATTAGTGCTATTTGTGTAAATTTACCATTCCGATTTGATCTATTATGTGGATCCGGCCCTCCATCTTACTTCCCGCTCTCTTCACTTTCGCTTCTTTTGGTGCGTGATTTGAAATTGCTCTACTTATAGAAAATTGATTATGTACATGCTATTTACTCGCACTTTCTAGAGAGATATAGTCATATAGGGGACTGGGAAAATGCTGGGAAGAGTGAGGCCATCATCAGTCAGTTCCTCGGGGCTGTTGGAGTTAGAAAGACCCAATTTAAAGATCATAAAAGATGATTCTCTTTCGATATACGGTAAGTTTTTTCTTTCTTTTTTTTCCCTTTGATTTGTTGGATAGAAACTGGCCATTGTCAATACTAATGCATTTCTGATGTTTTCTTTTTGTGAAATGTCGCTTTTATTCCTTTCTGAATTAGCCCCTGTTTGCCCCCCATTAAATTAAATTTTTGGGGGGTAAATAATTTTTAGAATAGTGATTGATGGGAGATGTGTGGTTGAAAAGTTTTTGATTTGTGTGTATTATTATTTTATTTGATGAATGTATGGTTGAGATGAAGAGAGAGAAAAAATAATGTAATGGAATGTAATATAATGGGGGCCAAACATGGGCTTAATATCATTCTAAAGCAGGAATTTACTCCACTAAAATTGGGAATTTTTTGTTTGGATGTTTGAAACAGAGACGGGGATAGGGGGCGGGGGATGGGGGCGACCGCCCCCCAACATTATCTGCTTGTCCACTATTCCTAGTTAATTTGTAATGTATTTTTCAATTTCGCTCCTGCAAAAATTTTGACTCACCCCCGCAAAATTTTGAAATTTTTTATTTTTTTCCATTAATAAATATTGACCCAATAACTTACACTTTAAAATTCACCCATACAAAAATCTTAGATCTAAACAAAAGATCTAATAGTTACTTAAATAAATAAATAGCTCAAATCCAAGAGAAGTTCCATTTGAAAGATCAATTGGAGCTATATTAAATTGAAGTTCAGCATAACTCTCAATTTAAAAATTTGACAACACTTCCCGATGTGTGTCAGCTGTTGGCATTGACAAGAAAATCAACGAGTTAAAGATTGATTCGTTTTGTCTTGACTCTTCCAGTTTCAACAGCAACTACAGAACATGCATTTTTAGCTATGAGTGTCATTAAGAAAAGGTTGCGTAATAGAATGGAAGATGATTTTTTGTCCAATACCATGCATGTGTACATAGAGAAAGAGATTGTTGATACTTGTCCATTAGATTATCTTATTGACGAGTTTGAAGTGATAAGGACAAGGAAACACCAATTTCATATGTCCAGTCATCTCTACTATCTGTTATATAGATAGGCAGTTTACTTTTTGTCTTTTTGATATCCATCTAACGTTCATATTTTCAATTTGCATAGTGTTAGACATATAGATGGACATATTATTTTTGTATCGACAAACTGATTGTCTTTTTGGTCAATCAATTTAACTTACCTATTTTGGTACTCAAAATCGTCGTTTTCATTCCTCTTAGTTAAAAAAAAATTTCGGGGGCTTTGCCCTTGAAACCCAGGGAGGGGGGGCCCGTCCCCCTCCACCCCCCGGTATTTTCGCCCCGGCAAGATTAAAATCCTGGCTATGTCACTGGTTTGAAAGGGTATCAGTAATTTACATGAATTGGTAAATCAGTTGAGTTCGATGACAGATTTTTAATCAAAATTGAGAGAGATTCTCTTTTTTTTTTTGGTGGGAAAGGGAAATTAGATAGATCGAAATTGGTTGAGCTTTAAAATAATTTTTTCACTTGTATTTTTGGGGATAAAGATCTATACTAAGTGATGCTTTATCAGGTTGCTGTTCTGAGTCATCCTGTTGAGAAATTTCAATTTTTGCTATGCACTTTTGGATATGCTTAAAGAATATGATGGTACTATTCCTTTCACATTATGTATAATAGGTTTTAATAAATATTGATGAAATATATTGTTTAAAAACTGTGGATCTTATAAAATATGTGGTTGGAAATGAGTTCAAGGAAAAATGAATTTTAGAAAATGAGTTGAGACTTATTTAACTTGTTTCCAATTGGCACATAAACTACACTTCTGAAGCTTAAGCAATGTTCTCTTTGCAATCCAAGCATAGCCCAAGAAAATTCTACGGGGACAGATGTAAATTGTACCATGGAAAGTGATTTAGCAGAGCAGGAGGCGACGACTACGGATGTCTATTTTTCCTCGTCTGATTCTTTACCAATGTCCAGTAGCTATGAATCTACAGACACCTCTAGAAAACAAGGAACTAAGGGCCTGTTTGATAGCTCATATTTTCTAGGGAAGATGGAAATTATCATAACATTTTCCACATTTTGGTCTGTTTGACAAACAAAATTTTCTAGGGAAAACATTTGCTTAATTTGGCTCACGTGACCTCCAATTCCACGAAATTGTGGAATTGAAATTCCTTGGGCTGTGGTGGTTTTATATTTTCTTGGCAATTGGCAATTGAAGGTGGGACACGCCTTTCTCGTTCACCTTCTCCGTCTCCACTACCGAAAAACCCTGAAAATCAACCAAAAAAATCACCACAAAATCCTATCATCGAAGGGGAGGAGTACGTGCATTGCACTCAGGATAACACAGAAGTCGTCAGAACTCGAAAACCCTCAAGAATCCGCAATTTCAGGCAATTGGGTTGCCGATTCAGGTTTGCTCTACGCTCCTTTCTCTGCTTGTGACCCATAACAAAAAAAAATTACATGTCTCGATTGAACATCCTGTGCAGCAATTTGCCTAGCACCTATTTTGAACTGAATGGCCTTGAAATCGAAACTTGATTTCTAGCTGTTGGACTTTCTGTGTTATCTATGTTTGCTATGTGACTGTTTGACGAGCTTTCATTTTGGAATTTTGTAATCTTGAGGTTTATTCTCTTTACCATGTTTCATGCTTGTCTTCTGAAAATACTCTATGCTTGTACTCTGATTAAAAAGTTGTAGCTCTAGATAAAGAGTTTTAAAAAATGACGCTCTTTGATTTCTTAATATGTCTTATGGTGCGTATTTATTTTTTATTTTCCTTTCCAGGCTGAACTTGGCAAATCAAATTGCCCAGTGAGGTTTTTTTTGGAAATAGAATTTTTCAACTGTTTCTGGACAATTCTTGCATTTTTTACAATCTATAGTAAGAATTATATCTTGTAAAAATTTGTATTCAGAGGATCTTAATGCTTAAAATATATAATAAATTGTTTGGGATAATTAGTGTTATACTTCTGAATATACCTCGTTTAGTAAGATGCCTCCATGAAGTATTAGGAAAATTATTTCATTAACTTCGGGAAAATGCATATTTACGTCTTCAGCATTCAAGTGCATCACCAAATAGAGTAAACGACAACATGATCAAACAATTGGAATGTTCTTTATTCAGATATGATACATGTTGAAATCTTCCTTCTATGGTTGTCTTTTCTAGATTCTGGTTTCTCTATTATGCTATACTTGAAATCAATTGACTTGAGGTACTTTGATGTTGTTAACATTTAGGATTTGGAAGTGTCTTAAAACTGAAGACATGTTGAGGTCCCAAAGGACTCGCCAAATAGAGAACTCCACCTAGGAAAATAAAATATCAGAAAAGGAAATGTTGAGGTCCCAAAGGACTTCAGATAAAAAGGGATTTGTGAATTAGGATTCTTTTTTCCCTTTATGTGTTTCAACTTTTCATGATGTTTGTCTACATCTATGCTTTAAAACATTCTCCTCAATTAGAAATCATGGATTAATTGTTTGCTACTTAGACCCTTTTGTTGTCTGCTTTTCTATAAAATGGTTAATATTGAGAGCATGCATTGATAATTAAGACACTAGAAATTTCGATTAATGGAAACTTGCATTTATCCGAGATGTGAAATGATGAAACAAGGTCATTTGAATACGCTAGAGAACAATGAATTCTTTGTAAATTCGTCTTGCTAGGGTAAATCCTTTTTCCAAATTGGAAGAACGTGAGATTTAAACAAAATGTCGTCATCAAATTTACATGTATCTCATCTACATTTTAAAAAGTAACATGAACAAATCTCTCATTTTCTCTTGCTTGAAACTTTTTAGACTTTGTTCTACGTACCATGGATACCACAAGGAACCAACGTCATCGCCAACGACAACAATTGGGTCTATTTTGGACTATGGTCATGCAAGCAATTGTAATATATAATACCATCAGGCGTCGTACAACTCCCTAGAGCCCCACATAGAAATTGGGATTTTGCAACTACCATTGCTGCCTTCCTCATACTTAATTTCATAGGCTATAAACTCAAGATTAAACAAAATTATCGTCGTCTAGGTCGTGTATCTGGGTTTTAGCAAACTTAAAATGACAAAAAGGAAAGAAAGTCAAAAGTTTTGGGCATGCTAAAATCATTTGAATATGAATTTTGTTCGATGACACGATTAGTACTTCTTGTTGAAAATTTAAATAAACGTAGGTTTAGATATCCCTCAACCACTGGTTCATGAAATTTGTGCATGTATTAGGTTTTTAACAGAAAATAAATTCAATTTGCACTTAGCACTTGGCACACTAATATTGCTTACATTCGGTGAAGTCGGCTTGCTCGATAATTCCTGCTTCTTCATCGATCTCCTTGTAATATACCAACACATCGATGGATTGGGAGACTTGATGAATTGATTTTTTTCCTCGTTCAGACTTGATCAATAGATAATTATAATTAGACGCATCGCTGAGATTCATAAAACCATACATAGAACCAGTAGATCAATTATTCGAATCAAAGACATCATATTATACAAAACTTTTGACTATAGAAATTAATTTGAACAAGCAAAAACAAACAAAATTGAAAATCACACATGAAGATGTTCAAGTATATGCACGAGGGTGTGCCAAAAGATAGGCTTCCACAACTTCATACATGCCTATAGCCCTATCTTTTCCAAACTCAATATCTTCCTCTTTGATCTCCACATTCTCTTTTGTATGGTATTCACTTGAAATCTTACACACACATCCTCCATACCCATATGGTTCAAACTTCACTTCATAAGTGATTTTTTCCAGCTTGTCCATAAGTGCATCCCCTTCAATCATAGTGAACTTAAATGTCCACTTCTCCTTGTCAAGATCATCAATTCTATGCTTCACATATCTAAAAGGACTAGCTGCAATTAAAAAGACACAAATCCAAACCATTAGCGTAAAGTTCGGTAGGAAGGAGTCCTGAGTTTCTAAATGATTTAACTAACCGTCGGTGAAGTTCATCTGTTTGATGCTTCCAGCATCGCCATTTCCTTGAAGATATTCAATACTCTTGATTGATGAGAACATGAGCTGTGGGCAAAGGTTGTGTGAATCAAGGATCAAGGCCTTGAACATCCTATCTGGCGTGACTTGTGTTTTGAAAGATTGAGAAACCTTAATGACACCCATATTTCCTCTGACTTTACACAACAAAGATGAAGAAACCAAGGGCTTCAATGGAGATCTTTCAAGTTTGAAGAATGAGTATCTAAAAAGTCTAGCACTCAATAAGGAGTATTTTTTTGATTTTTCAACACTTCTGGAGGGGAATATGTCAGTACTTGTCTTTTTATTTTATTTTATATGTATAGAGTGATGACTTTAATGGATGGAGAGATGTAAATTCATCAACCTAATCCTGCAAGTTGCAATAGATTGAGGTACATCTAAATTTAAATTGGTGGGGCATCTGTATTTCTTTTGTAAGCGTAGTGGTGGGGTTTAACATTTTATGCCGTCGTTATGGTAGGCTTTTGATTATTAACTAAAAATAAGTCGAGAATTTTCTCAATTTCTTATCGATTATTCGATATTAGATGGATATAGATACTCACTCCATCTTATCTATATAGGAAACATGGACAAAAACACATTTAATCACCATTATTTACTACTAGATGTTGATAATTAAATAAGTGTAAATTAGGTAATTTTATTACAAAAAATATTTTTTCAATAATATTAAATAAAATTTCTTAATCTGTGTGAAAGACAAAATCAACCTGTATAAATGAGACTGATGGAGTATTACTTTTGGAATCAACGTGTTTTGGAGTGTGTCCATTTTGTTGTGTAATTACGTGACGTTAGTTTGTGTAGATCATTAATAACCCAGTAAATGTAAAAAAGGCTAAGCGCATGTTTAGAGGGTAAATGATGAAGATGAATATGGACGTATATTCATGCAAATATGTATGTAGAATTAGTTAAGCCCATGTTTGACAACCAGTAATTGATTAAAATTATATTTTGAATAGTGATTTTTTGGAAGACGTGTACTTAAAAATTAAGAAATTTTTTTTTTTTTGGGATACGTACAGAATATTTTATTATGTAAATGTGATTGAAAATATATATGTAGAATAAAATATTTTGAAATAATTGTTGTTAAAAGGGGGCTTAATCATGTGATTGAAAATAAATATGTTGTTAATTAATCATGAGTGTCTTTTACTATTTTATAGGAGGTGGGGGATTTAATTGCAATTTAAATTTTTAGGAATTAGGTTTATGTTGAATACTGCTGATGCGAGTGGAGCTTTTATAATAGGCGCAATAGAGTTTTTTCATGAAGTACAGTTACCAAAAAGTTGATGATTATTGTTATGTGAACTTTAAATTAATTGTTTGATAGCTTTACTAAAGAAGTGCTTTTTATTATTATTATTTTCATTATGCTCATGTTTGAACTCCATTTTTGTAAGTTAATGTATTTTGAAATAATGATTTTTTTTTAAAAATATATGGTTTAAAAATAAGGAAAAAAATTTCGATTTCCATATAAATTATTTTGTAGAAAAGAATGTGGTCGAAAATAAGTTTTTAAGAATATGGAGCCAAGCATAGGCTATATAAAATCTATGTAATTAAAATTTAACTATTTAATACGTTAAAAAATGACACATTAATATTAGCTATAATAAAATATATGAAATATTAAAATTTCTTATATCATCTTAAATTTAATTTTTAAAATATATTATCACGAATTAACAATGAAAAATAATATTAAATAAAGAATTATAATAAAAATGTCATTTTAACCATTCAAAAAGAATATTTAAATTATTAAAAATTGATGAGTAGAAAAATTAAATATTTGGTATTTACTATAATGCAAACTTAGCTTTCCATTTTTGAGCTTCTCTAAAATAATGTTAAAAGGCTATTTTTTCCATTAAGTACAATTTTTTACCGCAACCAAAAAACTGAGTCCTGTTACACGTACAGGAAACTATTTGCCAGAATCATTACAGGACTCACGCATTGGGGGTGGGTGGGTTTTTTTTCCATTTTTAATTTTTGGTGGGTCCCATGCACAGTGAGATGCCTGTAAAATTCCTGTAAACTGGTGTAAACTGATTTCCAGTACGTGGAGATTTATCCATTTTTCAAATAGAATTGCTTTTAAACTCCCCAAAGGCCCAAACCCTACTAGGCACATACATAGGCTATGAATGACCCAGTGAGTTTTAATTGAATTTTTTTTTAGGAAAAATTACATAAAATCAGGCATTTAAATTTTCAAATTCAAAAATCAGATCTACGATTTATTTAATCAAAAATTAGGTATTAATTGAATTAATAATTAAAACCTAATTATACCTAAATCATTTCAACAGCCCGTCTCACTCTTCTCTCCCTCCCCGTCTCACTCCTCTCTCCCTCCAAACCCACCCGTCTTCTCCTCTCTCTCAACAGTAGCGGTGCCGCCTTGGAAGAGAACCGCCTGCACAGGGGCTTCACCACCGGGAGTTGATGCTGTGAGCAGCTTCTGTGAGTGTCGCGTGCAGTGGTCATAACGCTGCGATGGCGGCGCTATCTTCACGTATGGTGGCACTCTGTTCGCTCGAATCTAAGTCGACTAGCTAGCGATTTTGATCCCAAAATTGCGATGGTGGTGGTTGAGAACGGCGAAGTTGCTGAGAACGGCTTTTGGTTTCCAATATGCCTCCTCTCTTTCCTCTCTCTTCGACACCACCGCAGTTTTGGTTGTTGTGGTAGTGCAAGCGCCGTGTTTTGGTTGTGGTGGTGGTGCAGGCGCGAGGTTTTTTTGTTGTGGTGGTGGTGTTGCGGCGGCGGCTACGGCTACGGCTACGGCTATTTTTGTTGGTGGTGTAGGCGGCGATGTTGGTAGGTTCTGCTGGTGCAGGTGGCGATGGTGTTTTTTTGTTGTTGTGGCGGTGGTTGTGATGGTGTCGTGGCGGGGTGACGGCGTTGGTAGTTTTTTAGGTGGTGTGGTGTAGGCAACGGTGGTAATGGTTGGGGTGGTGTCGTGGCAGGGACGGTTGAGGAGGTTTTTTTGTAGGTGGTGCGGTGCAGGCGACAATGGTGGTGATCGTTTTTGTTGTTCTTGGCGGAGGTTGTGGTTGTGGTAGTGTGTGGCGGGGGCAGGGGCGGGGTGGAATAGTGTTTGTGACCAATTGTTTGGCTGATCTGTGATCAAGTATTGGTGGTGGATTGGGACGGGGTGGGGTGTTTAGTGTATGTGACCAACTATTTGGTTTAGTGTGACTAATAATTATTAAACTGTGACATTAAAATTCGATAATTTGTGACCAAGAAATTTGAAAATATGTGACTGATAAATAAATTGCGAACTATAATTTTTTTGATCTGTGATCAATGAAGTAAACTGTGGCCTATAAAATTTTTGATTTGTGATCTCGAAATAACCCGTGATCAATTAATTTGATAATATGTGACAAATAAATAAATTGTGACCTATAATTATGTACAAGTGATCATTAATTGTACAATTGTGAATTTATTATATTTAAATAATAAATATTTTTAATTAGTTGCTAAATACCTGATTTTTGTATTTTTTAAACTTCAACCCTGAATTTTGAATTCTTCAGACTTAAACCATGATTTATGAATTCTTCCCCTTTTTTTTTTATCAAGCCCCGTTTGACTCCCATTATTTTCAAAATATATTTTTCTTTTTTTTTAACCACACATTTTTCGAGAAAATAATATTACACGTAAATTCAAAAATTTTCCTTATTTTTTAACCACACGTTCCCTATCAGTTTACTATTCCAAAATATATTTTTAGATTATAATGGGGCTCAAACAAGCTCTAAAAATTAAAATAATTGTGAGTTTTTCTCCAATTTAGATCGAAATACTCGTTGATTTGCACATGAATTTCAAGACTTCAAATTAACAAGTATTTGATGTTTAATTTTCTAATAATCTTATGAACAAAAATGAAAAGAAAATGAAAACTAGAAATTCGATCTGTCGAATGGAATCAACGAGGAGTAAATTGCATATTCGTCCATTATTATACGCTTCTGCCTACATCAATAAAATTGCCTAAACTTGTATAAATGGAAGAAGACTCAAAATGCATTTGTTGATGTAAAACATATTGTTGAAGAATTTGATCAAAATGAGGAAAAAGCAATAGTGTAGAAAGAACATCAGAATTTTGGTTTGGGCTTATAATATTATTTCGGAAAGAGGATGACGATACGAGTAAAACTCATTGTCATGCCGTGATATACGATGGAATTTGTTCATCCGAGTTCATTTAGGAATCGAAAACTTATTTTTAAATTTTTAGTGCTATTTTCATCATTTAGTTTATTTCGAATTCCTTTTAATTTTAATTTGTTTAAACTAAGTTTTCCTGTAAATCCTTATAAATAAAGGATTATCTCATTGTTTGTGATTATTTTTCATTAATAAAATTCATAAGTTTAATTTTTCATAATTTGGAGGATTCCAAAATTTGTATTCTTAAGATTTTTGCCTGAATTCCTTGTTTCGCGCTTCGCCAATTTGAAATTGACTTTGAAACCCTCATAAAATAGGGTTAAACTTGGCATTTATTTTCATGAGCCTTTTAAGGTTTTCATTCCCCTTATTTCAGCAAGAGAAGTAGATTATCTCTAAACTGAAATTTCACATTGTTCTAGTTCGAACTCAAACTTCTAATATGCTATCTTTTTCGTTTCGGAGTTGGGGCAAATTCCATTTGTTTAAAGGCTCATAGGCACGTTTTATTGTTTTTTTTTTTTTCTCCGAATTTAAGGTTTGTGTTTGGTAATTCAGTGTTTTAGTATTTTATTATTCTTATAGTAATTTTTAGATTTTCCACTTGCACTAGAATTTTTGTCACGGAAATATTACTTCTTTTTCTTGCAATAGGGTTTTGATTACATACAATAATACGACCCTACTAGCGTCGGCTAAAAGGAGGGGGCTTGTTGAATAAAAACTCGATCGTCTATCTAAATTTTCGATATTCTACCTAAATCAATGAGTCCAAATTCCTTTTATTCTGTTCGAATCATCGAGTATTTTAACCATTCAAAAAGAATATTACATTATTAAAAATTGATGAGTAGAAAAATTAAATATTTGGTATTTACCATAAATTAATTAATTAATGCAAATTTGGCTTTCCATTTTTGAGCTTCGCTAAAATAACGTTAAAAAGCTATTTTTTCCACTTAGTACAGTTTTTGACCGCAACCAAACTATGTATTTTCCAAATAGAAGTGATTTTGAACTCCCCAAAGGCCCAAACCCTACTAGGCACACACTAAGCAGGCTATGAATGACCCAATGAGTTTTAATAGAATTTTTTTTTTTTTAATCAAGCCCCGTTTGACGTCTCTCATTATTTTTAAAATATATTTTTCTCTGTTTTTTAACCACACATTTTTTGAGAAAATAATATTACACATAAATTCAAAATTTTTTCTTTTAACTACACGTTCCCTATCAATTTACTATTCCAAAATATATTGTTAGATTATAATTGGGCTCAAACAAGCCCTAAAAATTAAAATAATTGTGAGTTTTTCTCCAATTTAGATCGAAATACTCGTTGATTTGCACATGAATTTCAAGACTTCAAATTAACAAGTATTTGATGTTTAATTTTCTAATAATCTTATGAACAAAAAAGAAAAGAAAAAGAAAACTAGAAATTCGATCTGTCGAATGGAATCAACGAGGAGTAAGTTGCATATTCGTCCATTATTATACGCTTCTGCCTACATCAATAAAATTGCCTAAACTTGTATAAATGGAAGAAGACTCAACTTTGGATCATGTGTTGAATATGCATTTGTGATGTAGAACATATTGTTGAAGAATTGGATCAAAATGAGGAAAAAGTAATAGTGTAGAAAGAACATCCGAATTGTCGTGCCGTGATATACGATATAATTTGTTCATCTGAGTTCATTTAGGAATCGAAAACTTATTTTAAAAGTTTTAGTGCTATTTTTATCATTTAGTTTATTTCGAATTCTTTTTAATTTTAATTTGTTTAATCTAAGTTTTCTTGTAAATCCTTATAAATAAAGGATTATCTCATTGTTTGTGATTATTTTTCATTAATAAAATTCCTAAGTTTAATTTTTCATAATTTGGAGGATTCCAAAATTTTTATTCTTAAGATTTTTATTTGAATTCCTTGTTTCGCGCTGCGCCAATTTGAAATTGACTTTGAAACCCTCTTAAAATAGGGTTAAACTTGGCATTTACTTTCATGAGCCTTATTTCAGCAAGAGAAGCAGATTTTCTCTAAACTGAAATTTCACATTGTTCTAGTTCGAACTCAAACTTCTAATATGCTATCATTTTCGTTTCGGAGTTAGGGCAAATTCCATTTGTTTAAAGGCTCATAGGTACGTTTTATTGTTTTTTTTTTTCCCGAATTCAAGGTTTGTGTTTGGTAATTCAGTGTTTTAGTATTTTAGAGCTTATTTGGTAGAGATTAAAATCGGATTAAAATCGAAAAATTAGTCGTTATTGTTGACTTTTATTAGACGAGTGAGACCCAATAACGACTATATTTTCAATTTTAATTAGATTTTAAGCTCTCCCAAACAAGCTCTTAGTATTCTTATAGTAATTTTTAGATTTTCCATTTTTTTTCCCGAATTCAAGGTTTGTGTTTGGTAATTCAGTGTTTTAGTATTTTAGAGCTTATTTGGTAGAGATTAAAATCGGATTAAAATCGAAAAATTAGTCGTTATTGTTGACTTTTATTAGACGGGTGAGACCCAATAACAACTATATTTTCAATTTTAATTAGATTTTAAGCTCTCCCAAACAAGCTCTTAGTATTCTTATAGTAATTTTTAGATTTTCCACTTGCACTAGAATTTTTGTCACGGAAATATTACTTCTTTTTCTTGCAATAGGGTTTTGATTACATACAATAATAAGACCCTACTAGCGTCGGCTAAAAGGAGGGGGCTTGTTGAATAAAAACTCGATCGTCTATCTAAATTTTCGATATTCTACCTAAATCAATGAGTCCAAATTCCTTTTATTCTGTTCGAATCATCGAGCTTTTTCATGCACATTTCCTCGTATTCATCATTTCTCACTTATAGAAGAACACAACTTATTCATTTTTATCATTAGAACTACTCATATCCAGCCAAGAATTTACTTCCGGCTTGGGAAATTCTAAGATAAGCAAAAAAGCATACATATTGAAAGATTTGTGCCATAAATATCATAAGGCACCATTAATTAACATAGGCATCAGGATTTGCCAAGAGGTAAGCTTCCACAGCCTTGAACACACCAGCAGCCTTCTCTTTACCAGCCTTAATATCCTCTTCTTTGATTTCCACACCCGGTTTAGTGTTGTATGTGCTAGTATTTTTACCCTTGGTTCCTCCCTCTGGAGTGGATTCGATCTTAATCTCATAAGAAATCGACTCAAGTATGTTCATCAACGCATCACCTTCTATCAATGTGTACGAATAACTCATGTTTTCCTTGTCTAGTGCATCGATCCTATGCTTCACGTACTTGAATTCGCTACCTGCAAATGTTAATGGACAAAAAAGAAGATATATATTAACTTGATAAGTTATCTAGTTAAAATGTTATAGGAATTTAACAGTGTAGATTAAGTAGCAGGCCTTCAGCAAAATTCATTTGCTTAATGGTTCCAGGGCCTCCATCGCCTTCAATTTTCTCGACATTTTTGATAGCCTGAGGAGCAATCTTGGGAATAAGGTTATCGGCATCAAGGATCAAGGCCTTGAACAGTCTCAAGGCGGAGATAGGACTGGTGAACTCTTCGGTGACAGTAATAGCACCCATGATCAACTCTCTTCAATAAAGATGTTGAATAAGAAAGAAGTGGAAGTCGATAAAGTTGTGATGCGATTGACGGTGTTGATTTCTCGGGGTATTTATAGATTGAGAAGTGGATGTCAAAAAAATTGTAGCCAAACTTTAAGAAGGCCGTTGGAAATTTGTAGAGCCTCAACCAACAAATTTAAGTTTGTATGGCACTAAGATCTTGAGCATGATTAATTGATAAGTATATGAATTTGACGACATACTAAACCAACTATTAACACCCGTCAATACTTAATGATTTTGGACACAGAACAACCAAAACCATCTTACACAATCGTTTCAAGATCGATCATCGTATTTTCTAGTCTACGGTCAAATTTTATTATTATGTGAAGTAACAAAGTAGATGTAGAAACAATAGACGGTTTATAAATAGCCGAATAGACTGGTAGGCGTAAACCCCACAACATTAAATTGCATCTTGTGAACGATCCAGCCTTTATATTGCTGTCTTTATAAGTTATGCCAGAGAATAAATATGCCCTCAACTACAAAGACATCCAATATTCAACTTCAATTATGTGAAGGATTAAAGAAATTTTTACTTTCTTTTCAAGGTTAGTAATTAGAAACCGATAGGTGTCGAAGCATATAAAAGTTTAACAGTGGAAAAGTGTTGAATATAGCCGACATTCTTACTTTCAAATTTTTGTTTTAGTAGCCTAGATATTTTGTATCTTAAGTCTTAATTTTAAGTGTTCAATTTGATAACTTCATCTTTGTAAAAGTTATCTTAGTTAGATCTTTTTCATAGACGGTTTGTTAGATTAAGAGGTGGAAAAAGCATCTTTGTAATTTATATAAACTCAACATGTATTGAAATGAATATGTGCTTCAATCTTCCTTCTTAAACTCACAGAAAAGGAAAACAGAGGAAAACAAAGTATTTTTACTTGGGCATAAAAACAGAAAATGACAGTAGCAATCCATGTGAGCATTTAAGCATTTACATGAGAAAAGTGCAAATACGGTAACTTCAGTGTAAATCTGGTAAGCACTTTGTTTTACATTAAAACAGAATTTCCTTTGGTAAATCCGGTAAGTGTTTTGCATATACGGTAAGCCAAGTATATATCCAGAAAGTTGAATATATATCCAGTGAGTTGTATTAAACGGTGAGGAGTGTTAAAACCGGTTAGTTTATATCAAATCCGGTAAGTTAGTGCTTTGATTCATAACTTCCAACATGGTATCAGAGCTGAATTGATCTTAGAAAAGAGACTCTAAAAAGAAGGGAAAGAGAAGAAGAAAAGAAGCTTACAAAGAAACAATCAGCAAAAATCAATAGAAAGGAAAATGGCATCAACTAGTTTTTTAGCACCACTACCATCTACCTTCAATGGAGAAAAATACAACTTCTGGGCTGCTAAAATGAAAGCTTATCTTAAAGTTTATGACCTATGGGAGACAACTGTTACTAGAGTTGAACCAAAACCTTTGAGGGATAATCCAATAGTGGCTCAAATAAAGCAGTATAGTGAAGATGTAGCAAAGAAGTTCAAAACTCTCTCTTGCAGTCAGTCAGCTGTTTCAGATGCTATCTTCACAAGAATCATGACTTGTGAGACTACAAAAGAAGCCTGGGATGTTTTGAAAGAAGAATATCAAGGTAATGAAAAAATGAGATAAATGCAAGTTCTCAACTTAAGAAGAGAGTTTGAGACTTTGAAAATGAAGGAGACTGGAGTTGTCAAAGATTTTTCAAATAGGATGATGAAGATTGTAAATCAAATCAGACTTTTGGGTGATGATTTACCAAATAAAAGAGTGGTGGAAAAGGTTTTAATTAGCCTACCTGAAAAGTTTGAATCCAAGATATCTTCATTAGAGGATTCTAGAGATCTGTCAACTATGACTTTAGCTGAATTGGTGAATGCTTTACAGGCAACTGAACAAAGAATGTTAATGAGGCATGAGGAAAATCAAAAGGTGCCTTATTTGCAAAGGAAAAATATAAAGCTCAAAAGAGCTTTGGTGTGAAAAAACCTCAGGTTCAGAGAAGAGAACCTGAAAGCAGCAGGAATGAAAACAAAGATGAAAAATTTGCACCTTGTCCTCATTGTAAAATAAAGGGTCATTCTCCAAAATTTTGTTGGTATAGGCCTGGAGTTCAATGTAGAGGCTGCAAACAATTTGGTCATATTGAGATGGTGTGCACAAACAAAAGAAGAAATCAACCACATCAGTAAGCAAAAATGGCAGAAAAACAGGAAGAAGGGCTAGAAGAACATCTGTTCTGTGCCATTAAGGCTTGTAGCAAGGTTGGAACTTGGCTATTGGATAGTGGTTGCACTCATCACGAGACTGTAGACTCTAGCATCTTTGTGGAAATGNACCTGAGGTTCAGAAAAGAGATCCTGAAGGCAGCAGTAGGAATCAGAACAAAGAGGATAAGTTTGCACCTTGTCCTCATTGTAAAATAAAGGGCCATTCTCCAAAATTTTGTTGGTATAGGCCTGGAGTTCAATGTAGAGGCTGCAAACAATTTGGTCATATTAAGATGGTGTGCAAAAACAAAAGAAGGAATCAACCACAACAGCAAGCAAAAATGGCAGAAAAACAGGAAGAAAGGCTAGAAGAGCATTTGTTCTGTGCTATTAAGGCTTGTAGCAAGGTTGAAACTTGGTTATTGGATAGTGGCTGCACTCATCACATGACTGCTGACTTAAGCATCTTTGTGGAACTAAACAAAGCCTACAGATCCAGAGTCAAAGTGGGAAATGGTGACTTTGTAGAAGTAAAAGGCAGTGGAGTGATTGCTGTCCAGACTTCAACATGTATTAAGCACATTCCTGATGTTTTATATGTGCATGAGATAGATCAAAATCTAATAAGTGTAGGGTAATTGTTAGAGAAAAATCATTCTTTAATTTTCAAAGAAAAGGCCTGCACTATATTAGATGAAAATGGAAAGGAGTTGATGACAGTTTAAATGAGAAATAGACGCTTTCCTATAAATTGGAAAAATGTCACTACACAACCATGTTTAACTGAAGAAAGTGAAACTACTTTGTGGCATAGACGACTTGGTCATGCTTGCCATACTTAATTAAAGCAAATATATGATTTTAATCTTGTTGAAAGCATTCCTAAAATTATTGATGAAGGCTGTGTTTGTAATGTTTGTCAACTTGGAAAGCAAACAAGATTGCCTTTTCCAAAGAATCAGTCAAGAAGAGTTATTGACTAACTTGAGTTAGTACACTCAGATGTATGTGATCCAATGAAAATGACTACATTGAATGGCAGCAGATATTTCATCATCTTCATTGATGACTTAACAAGAATGTGTTGGGTCTACTTCTTGAAAGTAAAGTCTGAAGTTGCATATGTGTTTCAAACGTTCAAGAAAATGGTGGAGAATGAAAATGGCTGCAAGATGAAGACCATCACAACTGACAATGGCACTGAGTACAGTTGCAGGCAGTTTGATTATTTCTGTAGAATTGAAGGTGTCAAGCATCATTAACTATTCCCTATTGTCCTCAACAGAATGGAGTCAGTGAGAGGAAAATAGGAGTTATGGAAATGGTTAGGTGCTTGTTGATTGAAAAAAGTACCAAAAGAATTTTGGCCGAGGCATTTAACACTGTTGTTTACCTTCTCAACAGTTTGCCATCAAGAGCCTTGGAGAAGAAAACCTCATATGAAGCTTGGTATGATGTCAAACCAAATATCTCACACTTGAAAGTGTTTGAGAGTGTTCGTTACATTCATATTCCTGATGCAAAAATGGATAAACTAGTGAAAAAGATGAACTTGGAATATTGTTTAGCTATTGCAACAATTCTAAAGGATATAGAGTGCTCAATCCTCAAACCAAAAAATTAACCTCCAGCAGAGATATCAAGGTGGATGAAGATGCTACTTGGAATTAGGATGTAAGTTTAGTAGTTAAAGAAAAAGCCTATGATATAATTCCTCAAATCAGAAACGAAGAGAGTGATGATGAAGAAAGTTTAAGTGTTCAATTTGATAATTTCATTTTTATAAAAGTTATTATAGTTAGATCTTTTTCATAAACAGTTTGTTAGATTAAGAGTGGAAAAAGCGTCTTTGTAATCTATATAAACTCAAATGTATTGGAATGAATATGCTTCAATCTTCCTTTTTAAACTCTTAGGAAAATAGAGGAAAATAGAATATTTTTACTTGGGCAGAAAAACAGAACATGACAGTAGCAATCTCGGTGAGCATTTAAGCATATATGATGAGAAGAGTGCAAATACGATAACTTCAATATAAATCCAGTAAGCACTCTGTTTTACATTAAAACAGAATTTCCTTTGGTAAATCCGGTAATTGCTTTGCAGATACGGTAAGCCATGTGTATATCCTGTAAGTTGAGTGTATATCCGGTGAGTTGTATTAAACGGTGAGGGGTGTTAAAACCGGCTAGTTTATATCAAATCCGGTAAGTTCCACTCCTTGATTCATAACTTCCAACAAAAAGAAAAATCAGAAGAACCAAAATAAAGTAGTATGTTTCTAATAGACTTAAATAGTTAGAACAAATGTTTTACTCAGGTGAAAACTCCAAACTAAATGATTCATTTCTCTTCAGAAAATGAAGGTTTATTTTTATTTTTTATTTTTGAACTAGTTTTTCGTTTTACAGTTATAAAATAAATAATGTTATACGTCTTAATTCATTTATAAAAGTATACATTGTGAGTTGTATGTAAATTGTTAATAGTACCAAAAAATTAAGAAAGCAATCTTGTGAACTGAAAACACATTTACATCATTGAAATATGAATAAATCTATAGTATATTAAATATCACATCATGTGAGAATAATTTTTTGAACTATTTTAGCCCTACTACAATTCCATTATTTCAATAATATCTTACTATTTATTTTTCAATATGTAATAAATATTACAAAATCCTTATCATGTATGAATTTCGTATTATTAATCAACTGACATTCACATTAATTTAAATTCAATGAGTCT